CCGACATCCAGCAGCAGCAGGAACACCAGGCAGACGATGGCTGGGATGCAGGTGCTTAGTGACTCTTTTAGAGCTGCCAAGGTGAAGATGGCCCCTGGAATGGAAAGCGAGGTCCCTGAGGCTTCCTGGAAGAACCCAGGAGATCCAGGAGCTCAGGGCTCTCCAGTTTAGGTTGACCCACTTTAGCCCAAGCCGTCCTATTAAACACCCCTACCACTCCCAACGCATATTCCCAAAACTAGCTGCACTCATCTCTGGCCTCCTGGAGAACGCAGGACCAGGAAATTTAAGCCTCTTGAACAACAGTAGCAGTGTCAACAGTTGCCCCTCTCAGAGGACAAGAAAGAAACAGAAATGACCCAGCCAAATTCTCCCTGTTTTTTTTTTTTTTTTTTTTTTTTTTTTGAGATGGAGTCTTGCTCTGTTGCCCAGGCTGGAGGGCAATGGTGCTATCTCGACTCACTGAAACCTCCGCCTCCTGAGTTCAAGCAATTCTCCTAGCTCAGCCTCCTGAGTAGCTGGAATTACAGGCACACACCACCACATCTGGCTAATTTTTGTATTTTTAGTAGAGACAACGTTTCATCATGTTGGTCAGGCTGGTCTCGAACTCCTGATCTCAGGGGATCCACCCACCTTGGCCTCCCAAAGTGCTGGGATTACTGGCATGAGCCACTGAGCCCAGCCCTTCTCCTTTCTAAATCCTACATCTACCAGGATTAAGATGGAGGGAAGGATTAGCCCAGGGGCTGTTGGTTGGAGGTATGGGAAAGGTCTGAAAATGAGAGAAGCTGCAGAGATGGAAGCAAGCCTGATAGCGGTGGCAGCAATGGTAACAGATGCCGGGACATACAGAAGAGCCTGAAGATATCTGACCTTTGAAGCAGCAGCTGTCTTTGTACATCAGCAGTTCCTGTGGGCAGAGCTGCTAGGAGGGGGGGACTCTCTAGGGAAATTCTCTGCCTTCCTGTTCAAGGTTTCCCAGCTTCCCTGCTCTCTACACCAATCTGCCAGACACATACATCAAATGGCAGCTGCTGCCCCATCCCCTCATCCCAGGCGTGGGCATGTGGAGGAAGGGGCAGAGGTGCTGAGCTTGCAATACATCTTCGCAAGGGAATACTATGCAACCATTAGAATTGAGGAGGTAGAAGGTACACTTAACATGTGATGGCGTTTTAGCACATTAAGTTTAAAAAGTACCTGTGCTAGTTTGAAGACCATGGAAACTGTGTTAGAGCAGAAGTGCTCTTGATTCCAGAGGAAAAAAGGGTGACAACAGTAAGGGGGAACAGCCACGTCTTTCCATCTTCCTCCCCCAGAAGACCCCATTTTCTCAGGCCAGTTGGCCCCCTTACCCATCATGAGCAGAATCAAGAACAAGTTACTGATCTCTTGCAGCATCGGTGGACCTGTGACCAGCAGCAACCCAGCCAGCAGTTCCAGGAAGCCCACAGCTGTTTGGTAGCTCAGGGGATCTGGTTGGTAGCCAAACACCTTCAGCGGGAACACCTCAGCAAACTGCACGAACAGGGCTTTCTAGGGGTCGCAAGGAAGGCCTGTCAGCCATGCTTATCAGGGATGTGCTGCCCGGATGCTCCACGGCATATCTCTGCCTGTGCCCTTAACTCCCCTGACAAAAGAACTACTACTACTCTAGGTCAGCCTAGAGAGGAGAGGGCCGCCCTGTAGCGCTGAGCTTTGGAATCAAGAAACAGGCTCCTTGCTCTAAGTGGTACAGAGACTGATTTTCTCACTAGACCTATCAAGAGGTTACAACCCAGCCCCAAATCCCAGGAGGAGAGAGCTGGGCTTGGCTTGTTTTCCTTTGTGCCTGGCCTGGTTTCTCTTAAGGTTGATGTGCAGGGAATATTTGGAGGTGGGGCAGAGGTGGAAGGGCTCATTAAACAGATTCCACCTTGAATCTCCTTTGCTGGGTCCTGGATCCCACCGAGGCAGACACAAGGGCAGGGTTAGGTGGGCTCAAAGTGACTCTTCTTGTTAAGGCAAGTCCTCCCCTGAGCCAAATGACAACTTAATCCTGACTTTCGGAGTTACTTTTTTCTGTTCCCACTCCTCAATTCTACCTCCCTTCCTCAGCTCTGCAGAGAAGCAGCTCCAAGCCGTCTGTCTCTGAGGATGTATCCAGGCCTTGGAGAGGGAGGTCAGCAGGGGTCTCCAAGTCTGGCTCTTTTGAGGGACTGGGGAGATTGGTGAGCAGGACATGAAAGCTTTCCCATGAATCTGGAACTAGACAGAAGGTTACAGACGACCTTGGGGCTTCCCTCTCAGTCTTCATGAAAACGAACGACTCTTGGCTTCCGAGTTAGGAGTGCCTAGTTTGCGTCCCGCTTCCGGACTAGATGTACAACCTTTGGCAGATATACTTGCCCTTCAGGGCGGGCTTCCTTCCCTGCAAAACCAGGATTACTACACCCCAGCCATAAGGACTTCCTAAGAACGGAGGCAAACGGTGAAAAGGGGGAAGAGAGCAGGGAGGGAGCTCAGTCGTTTTTCCGCTACAACTTCCTCCCCCAGGGTCCCGGGGAACCTCCTAAGGCTCGACTCTCTCCTGGGGCCATCAGTGCTCAGCAGGAAGGGGAGGTTCTGTCCTCTTCCGTCTAGGGAAGGTCCAGAGAACTCGAGGAACTCCCCAGGCAGGACCCGCGCCTCAGTCGAAAGCCAGGCGCTTTCCCCCAGCTGCTCCAGCTGAGCCTCGGAAGCCCGAAGACGGCCCGCCGGGCCGGGGGCAGGGAGCGGCGGGGCAGAGCACACGCCGCCGCGGGCCCGATCCCCGGCCGCCCGCCCGCGCCGCTCACCATCCGCTCCGAAACTGGAGCCGAGATCCGCTCCGAGAGCTTGGCCGCCCCCACGAGCGCGAAGAAGCCTCCCAGCAGCACGCGCAGCACCAAGAGCAGGAGCGCCATGGCCGCGCTCGCCCCGCGGGACACCGAGCTCGCCCGTCCGAGGGTTGGCCCCGCCGAAAACCCGCCCCTGCCGCCGGCTCATTTCCTCCCTCCCAGGGGCAGCCGGAAGACTCGCGCCAGCGCTCCTGTACCCCGCCCTCCAGGGGGTCGCGAGTCTCCGGCACCAGGGCAGGGCGCCCCCATCTCACAGGTGGGGATACTCGAGGACCACTGGCTCGTAACTGACTAAACCGGCGCCTTTGGATTCAGGAGTTTCTCAGCCATTACCGAGTGCGGGCAGACACGGGTGGGTGGCTGCGGCTCAGCTATGCTCAAAAGACTCCCGGGCTTCGTACCTGCCTGTGCCACGCTAGCTGTGGGATCTGAGCTGTCACCCAACCTCAACTGTCCTCAGTATCTGCCTCTGTATATGGGAATAACTCAGTTCTCCAGAGTTTGTATAACAGGCCTAGGACAATGCCTACACACATTAAGAAAGTTATTTGTAAATTAATTTATAAAGTTATAAGCAATAAATCAATAACTTATAAATCAATTTATAAAGTTACAAGCAATAAATCAATATCAAAATATTTAAGTAGTTAAATAAGTTTCTTTTCTGTCTTTGCCTGAAATATCTTTTCCTTCTAATTTCTCTCAGCTGAGATTGAAATGTGAAAGATGTTTGAAAATTCAGATACTTGCAGCCACGGATAGAGAGGCTTTCATTGAACAAAACCCTACAAAGCCACTCCTGGTCCATCTGCTCTTACCTGGAAATCTCTATAGAGCTGGGATGGGCAAACCATGGGCCAAATCTGGCCAGGTTTCTGATTTTTTCGAACGCGTCTCCCCTTCCCCCAAGCTAATAAGGTTTGTTTACACTATTTATGATAAAAACATTTTTTAAAGAAGCTTGTGTGACATCAAAATTATATGAAATTCATATTTCAGTGTTCACAAATAAGTGTGGTTTTTGTTTTTGTTTTTTGTTTTTTTGAGGTGGAGTTTCGCTCTTGTTACCCAGGCTGGAGTGCAATAGGCGAAATCTCGGGTCACCACAACCTCCGCCTCCTGGGTTCAGGCAATTCTCCTGCCTCAGCCTCCTGAGTAGCTGGGATTACAGGCATGCCACCATGCCCAGCTAATTTTCTGTATTTTTAGTAGAGACGGGGTTTCACCATGTTGACCAGGATGGTCTCGATCTCTTGACCTCGTGATCCACCCGCCTCGGCCTCCCAAAGTGCTGGGATTACAGGCTTGAGCCACCACGCCAGGCACAAATAAGTTTTATTTAAACACAGCCATACTCATCTGCATATTGTCTATGGCTGCTTTTGCACTACATCTGCAGAATTGAGTAGTTGTGACAGTATGGACTGCAAAGCTGAAAATATTTACTATCTCGCTCTTTATATTTAAAAGTTTGCTAAGCCTTGGTATAGTGGGCCAGAGAGGCCCCAAGCAGGGGTCTCAACCCTCCCTGCTGCTTCCATTTCTTGTTACCCAAGCTCCTTAGATCTATCTTTTCTGGCCAGGCATGGTGGCTCACACTTGTAATCCCAGCACTTTGGAAGACCGAGGCAGGTGGATCACTTGAGATCAGGAGTTCAACCTCACCAACATGATGAAACTCCGTCTCTACTAAAAAAAATAGCTGAGCGTGGTGGTGCACCCTGTAACCCCAGTTACCTGGGAAGCTGAGACAAGAGAATCACTTGAACCAGAGATATCACTTGTACCAGGCAGAGGTTGCAGTGAGCTGAGATCTCACCATTGCACTCCAGCCTGGGCAACAAAAGTGAAACTCCATCTCAAAAAAAAAAAAAAAAAGATCTATCTTTTCCGTCTACTCACAGCCTTGCTGGGGTAAGTTGCTGGTTGGCTGAAAGACTGAAATGTTCCACTTGCTTCTCAAGGCCAAGCTGTTTCCAACATGCAGGTTGTGCTGTTACATTATAAACTGGGCCTCTCATTACCTGCAGTCTTTGTCACTAATCCAAATTTATTAATGAAATAACCACATTTTCTATCCTAGATTATAATTATACATATTTATAAAATCATAATTATTAAATTCCTCAACAAAAAAAGGAAAAATTATTAAAACATTTAATCACCAAAAACACAAATCCACATTAGGAAATTATTTTTTAGGATACTTATACAAAACTTAACACAAAATTACTGACTTCACTGATAAGCAATGTGCATGTTGCTACTCTTTCTCTTTCACTAATTTTTCTATCCGTGGAATTAAAGATGTGACTGCAAGTCTTAGGGCAGGGCCAGAAACCGACAGATTTCTTTGTTTTGACTCAGTCAAAGCTGAAAAGGCAGCATCACATAAATAAACAGTTGAAAAGGGTAATAAAAATTTCATTGCCTTTTCATGGAGTTCTGGGTATCTTGCCTTTGCATTTATCCAAAACTGAGTTACAGACACTGATTTAAATACTGATTGCAATCCTAAATCTGAAGATAGCTGTGTTAGCTTTTCTTCTTCGAAGTCGGTGAGATTATTATTTTGGTGATTCATAAAAGGGTTAATTATCCACAAATTTCCTGAACGTAAGTCTTGTTCTGGTGGAAAACAGTCACTGAACACTTGAGAAAGTCCTTCCAGGTGCTCAAAAATAATCCTTGTGATCTCTGTCATATTTAAGTCTGATGAATTTGAGAATTCAGAAAATGAAGGGAACATGTCATAATCATTCTCTTGTGTGCACTTCAACCACATTTTTAACTTTCTCTTAAATACATCAATTTTATTACACAAATTGAAGAAAGTAGTCAAAGTTCCTTGGAGACTTAAATTTAATTCATTTATAAGTGAAAATATATCTGATAAGTAGGCCAGTTTTGCAACCCATTCCTCATCATGAAAATACTTGGCCAAATCTGAATGCTTTTGACTTAAGAATATTTCAATCTCATGTCGTAATTCAAACAATCTTTTTAACATTCTCCCTCTTGATATCCAGCGTACTTCAGCATGAAGCGGTAAACTCACGTGCTCAGACCCCATCTCTTCACACAAAATAGTTAACATACGTGAATTCAATGCATTGCTCTTTATAAAACTTAAAATTTGTGCTGACTGCAAAAGAATTTTATGTAAACATGGAGACAACTTTTCTGCGGCTAAATGTTCACGGTGAATAAAACAATGTGTAAATGCTGCTGTATTCATAGCAACTTCTTGAATTTTTGCTTTTAAACCAGAATACCTGCCAGTCATGCTTGCAGCCCCATCGGTGCAGAGACCAACACAATGTTTCCAATTCAGAGATTTACTAACAATATATTTATTTATTAGTTCAAATATTTCACAACCAGTTATTTGAGTAGGCATTTCAATGCAAAATAATAATTCTTCTTTTACATCATGACAATCATAATCAATGAAACGAATATAGCACAAAAGAAGTGTGATATTTGAGATTTCTGATGAATCATCTATCTGAAGGGCAAACCACTTTGACTCTCTGACCTTCTGAATCAGCTGGTCTTCAATATCTGTAGATAGTTCATCAATCCTGTGTTGAATTGTAATATTAGAAAGTGGAATTGTTTTCATTTTGTCTCCGGCACTTGAACCCAAAACTTCTGAACACATTTCTACTAAATACGGTTTAATTAATTCTTCAGCAATGGAGAATGGCTTCTTGCTTGCAGCAGTTTGGAAAGCAATTAAATAAGAAGCTTTCACAAGTGACTTTTCAACTAGTAAATATTTTTTTAAAGAACTATTTTGACATTCCATTTCTAGAGATTTTTGTTCAAAAAAATCTACTGGTTTGTTTTCTAATTCTGAATGTTTTGTCTTCAAATGATGAGAAAGATTTGCTGGCTTCATGTTTTCACTGGGTAAGATCTCTCCACAAATGACACACTGTGGCCTTGGTGAACTTTCTTTTGATCCAGGACAGATAATAAAACCGACTTTTAAATATTCTGTATCATATGTCTGGAAAAAACCTAATCTTTTTTTCTTTGAAGGTGGAGAATCAAGTTCTGCATCATTTTTTTCATTAGGCATAGGTAAATCTGAATGAAATATTTGAATCACTGTTATTTTCAAGAACAAATAAGCAATGTTCTTTATCTCCTCACACATTTAAAATTCATATTTTGTTACTATTTCTACTTATCAAAAGAACGCATTGATAAAAGTTTAAGCACAAACCATAATACTTCCAATGATGCCACTGAAAACTGAATTTCTGCTTTGCCCAAAGCTTGATCGCTGGGTGTAATAAAACTATAGGATGTGGTGCATGTACAAGTAGTCCCAAGCACCCAATAGGTTATTGAAATTAGGGCTGAAGACCACAGTACACATCAAATTAAGAATAAACCTTTTGGTTGAGCACAGTGGCTCACACCTATAATCCCAGCACTTTGGGACACCAAGGTGGGTGGATCACTTGAGCCCAGGAGTTAGAGACCAGCCTGGGCAACATGGCGAAACTCCATCTATACAAAAGAAAAAAAAAAACTGGCCAGGTACAGCAGCACACACCTGTAGTCCCAGCTACTTGGATAGCTAAGGCAGGAGAACTGCCTGAGGCCCAGGAGGTCAAGGCCACAGGTAGCCATGATCACACCACTGCACTCGAGGCTGTCTCAAAAATAAATAAATAAATAAATAATTTTTATTGGTTAGTGATACTAATGCCAAAAATTTTTTTAAAGAAAATGAAAAAAGAGGCCAAGCACAGCAGCTGATATCAGTAATCCCAACTCCATGGGAGGCCAAGGCGGGCAGATTACCTGAGATCAGGAGTTCAAGACCAGCCTGGACAACATAGTGGAACCCCGTCTCTACTAAAAATACAAAATTAGCCACGCATGGTGGTACACGCCTGTAATATCCCAGCTATTTGGGAGGCTGAAGCAGGAGAATCACTTGAACCTGGGAGGCAGAGGTTGCAATGAGCCGAGATCATGTCATTGCACTCTGGCCTGGGAGACAATAGTGAAACTCTGTCTCAAGAAAAAAAAAAAAAAAAAAAAGAAAAGAAAAGGAAAAAAGAGAGAAAGAAAACTAATGTTTTACTTTCAAACAATCCAGAAAAAAAAAGAAAGGGGCCGGGCACGGTGGCTCAAGCCTGTAATCCCAGCACTTTGGGAGGCCGAGGTGGGGGGTGGATCACGAGGTCGAGAGATCGAGACCATCCTGGTCAACATGGTGAAACCCCGTCTCTACTAAAAATACAAAAAAATTAGCTGGGCATGGTGGCACGTGCCTGTAATCCCAGCTACTCAGGAGGCTGAGGCAGGAGAATTGCCTGAACCCAGGAGGCGGAGGTTGTGGTGAGCCGAGATCGCGTCATTGCACTCCAGCCTGGGTCCGGGTAACAAGAGCAAAACTCCGTCTCAAAAAAAAAAAAAAAAGAAAGAAAATACTGCAAAAAATTAACATTTCATTAATCTGGATGAAGAGTATACTAGTGCTGACTGTACTGTATATTCAACCTTTCTGAATTTTGGGACTCAGTGTCAGTGAGGTTGTAGAGAAATGGATCCTCCTGAACACTGCTGGTTGGAGCATACATTGATGTAACTTTTCAGGAGGGCAATTTAGGCAACAGGTATCAAAAGCCTTAAGAATCAGTGATAGCCTTTGAATCAGTAATTCGACTGATTAGGATTTATCCTAAGGACATAATTAGACAAGTGGACAAAGATCCATTAACACAGCTTAACCCAACATTACTTATAATATAAATATCTAAATTTCCAATCTTAGGGAGCTGGTTACATTATATACACTGAAATCTATGTTAAGAATCTCACACCCAGGTAACATATCTACAGATGTACCCCCTGAATAAAATAAGATAAAATAAACACAAAAAAATTAAAATTGGAAAAAAAATAATCTTAATGTATATTTAAATCTATATTGATGTGGAATAATGTTTCCACTGCAACATCAAATGAAAAAGTAGTTTCAATTGTTAGAAAACAATTCAAGATTTATTTTTTTTTTTTATTTTTATTTTTTTGAGACAAAGTTTCACTCTTGTTGCCCAGGCTGGAGTGCAATGGTGCAATCTTGGCTCACCGAAACCTCTGCCTCCCAGGTTCAAGCGATTCTCTTGCCTCAGCCTCCCAAGTAGCTGGGATTAAAGATGCATGTCAGCATGCCTGGCTAATTTTGTATTTTCAGTAGAGATGGAGTTTCGCCATGTTAGTCAGGCTGGTCTCAAACCTCTGACCTCAGGTGATCCACCCGCCTTGGCCTCCTGAAGTGCTGGGATTACAGGTGTGAGCCACCGTACCTGGCCAACAATTCAATATTCAATCTACAACTCAAAACATAAGCGCACACACACACCCACAGATCCTTTAGTACTCTCCATGTGTGAATGTGTATATAATGTAAATTCAGGTACAAAGAATATATTGTTTTAATAGGAATATAAAATAAATTTCCTGAGGAAGAAAAATGGGATTCTCCTTGATTTCTACCAAAAGAAAAGTACCCTACATAAAAACTTACTACTTGTTGACAAACTAACCTTTTAAATATAGCATACTCTATGACATAAAATTATTATTAAAAACAAAAATCAGGCTGAGCGCCGTGGCTCACACCTGTAATCCTAGTATTTTGGAAGGCCAAAGTTAGTTGGGTGTGGTGGCAGGTGCCTATAATCCCAGCTGTTCGGGAGGCTGAGACAGGCAAATCGCTTGAATCTAGAGGCAGAGGTTACAGGGAGCCAAAATCATACCATTGCACTCCAGCCTGGGCAACAAGAGTGAAACTCCATCTCAAAAAAAAGAATCAAAAAATGCTTTAGGTACCATAGACTATTTAAGTAACTGAAAATCTAAGGGTAGTGGGATTAAAAGTAGTTAACATAGACCGGGGCAATACTTTACAACTTTTTTCAAGTATAAGCTCTATTTTCATGGTCACCAACACCTCAGATAAATTAGTTGTACTGTTAGCAACTGATAACTGAATTTGCAGTGTTTAAAAAAAAAAAAAAACAGTTAAATCAGTAATGCTTTTAACTAAAACTGTATGTTAATAATTATAATAGCTTGTTATAACACCTGGTTATCAGTAATAAAAACTATAAAAGCAAGTATTCAAAGTATGTGATCCAAGAAAAGGAATCTTTTCACATTTAAGAACTTGTCAATTATCTTCTTTTTCTTTCTTAAAAAACAAAAACAAGCCAGAAAACAAACTTTGTACATGGGAATTCACAAGGATACATACCTGTCTGACATTCCTTGTGCTGTGTATGTGGTTTGCAAGAAGTGGCCTTGGTCTGTGTGACGGGCTTGCATAATATGCCTTTGTTCTTTAAAAGTCTGGAAGGCTGGGAAGACTGGGAAGATGGAAGTTTCATAGCATCTGCCTGTGTACTTTCCTAGTTAAAAGCAAATTCAGAAACCAAAGAAAGATTTTTTTTTTTTAGTACCTTATCACTGACTACAATTTCTATCAATTGAAAGTTGATATACATCAAGATAAATACAATTCCTCTGAAAGAGTGGTTGCAATAAAAAAGTGACCTTGGAAAACACACACAGATTCCTACTTCTCCCATCAGTATTAGTTTAATTTACTGATTTTTAAAAACATTAAAAAATATCTCTATAAACTATAAAATATATATAGTTTAAAAATAAGTATGATCAATGAAAACAATTGTTAATCTTGCTGATTAGGACAATTGGCTACTCAGAAAAATTAGATGTTCCAACCTCAGACCATACACAAAAATATATTCCGTATCAATTAAAGATCGAAGCAAAAAACAAAACAAAACAAAACCCAAAACTAAAGTCACTAGAGAACTTTCAAATAACCAGATCACAAAGTATTCTTAAGTAAAACACAAAAGAGTAAAACAAAGTGGGAAAGATTGATACATTTGACTACCTCAAAATTTAAAACTGCACAGATGATCCACGATAATCTCCCTATTTTAAAGTTAACTGATTAGTAACCTAATCATTTGCTACCCTAATTCCCCTTTGCCATGTAATGTAATATATTCACAGATTCTGCAGACAAGGATATGGACATCTTTGGGAGACTACTATTCTGCGTATCATAATAAAGCTTTTAAAAATAGATTTTTTTAACCTAAAAAAAAATTCTGTAAACAAAGGTATTTATCAAACCAAGTTATAGGACAAACAACAGAGTGGAGGAATATACTTAAAACATGTGGTCACTCAATATTTATTTACTGAATGTTTACTACAAGCCAGGCATTGTTCTAAGCTTTGGGGATACAGCAGAAAACAAGACAAAGTTCTGCTCTTATGAGCCTTACATTCTAGAGGAAGACACAAAACATAAACAAGTAAAACAAGTAATATATAATTCCAGGTAGTGATAAGTGCAATGAAGAAAATAAAGCAGCGTATGGGAAAGGAGAGTGATGGCATGGAGGAGGGTAATTTTGAAGTAAACATCTGAGCAGAGACCTTTCGAATTATTCAAAAGAGTAAGCCATGCAACGGCCTAAGGTCAGAAGAGTCCAGGCAGGGAGACTATAGGTGCGAAAACCCTGAGTGTGAGAAAGCTTGGCATGCTTTAGGAACATCAACAAGAGCAAGGCTGAAAGACAGTAAGCATGGGGAGAATGATACATTTGGAGAGAAAGGCAGATCATACAGGATCTGGAAGGTCTCAGTTAAAAACTAAATTAGGATTGTATTTTAAATGTGATGGGAAGCCATTGGAGGTTATACTTAAATTTACTTTAAACAAAAGTAATACATGAACTCAGTACAAAATTCAAAAGGTATGAAGTATTGGGTTGGTGCAAAAGTAATTGTGGTTTCTGCAATTAAAGTAATATATACATGAATGACTTCCATCTACCCAGACTCAACCTAGAACACAACCACAGTTCCGAGTTTCTTATATAGTTGTTCCCTGTTATCTGCCAGGAATATGTTCCAAGACCCCTGAAACCAAGGATCACACCGAACCCTATATACATATGTGTGTGTGTGTATGTGTGTGTGTGTGTACATACATATGTGTATATATATCGAACCCTATATACATACATATGTAGATATGGCAATCACTGTTACCCATTTATTAGTTGTCTTCCAGGGGATATTCTATACATATGTACGAGAGAGAGAGAGAGAGAGAAAGAGAGAGAGAGAGAGAGAGAGAATGTGTGTGTGTAACACAAATGGCACCATGTTACAAACTGTCTTTTTTTCACTTATGATATTTGAGACTGCTCTATGTCTATACATACTAAGCTGCCACATTCTTTTTAATAACTGTGCAATATTCCATTGTTATAGATATATACCTTGCTCAGTTTTAACTACAGCCTCAACAAGGCCACTGTGAATGCCTGTGCAGCGATTCCACTTGCCAGGCCATACAAATAGGTGTGAAATTCAAAAGGGTACATTTCAGACCCTGCCCATGTAGAGCTATTTTTTTTCTAATTCATACAGTAATTCAGAGTGAAATACACCATGGCCTGACCACTGGTAAAATAATTAGGCTGTTTTCAAGCTTCTGCTACTACAAGCAATATTGCTGTGATGAAAATCCTTGTACATGCTTCATTTCATAAATGTATAAAATCTGAAAAATAAATTCCTAAAAATGGAGTTCCTGGGTAAATGGTATTTAAAATTTAAACAGGTTCTACCAAATTGCCCTCTGTAGCAGTTTTATCAATTTACACTATTCTAACTATTGGCAGTAAGAATACCTTAGCAGTGTTATCCATCGTTTTCTTTGCCAATCTGGTTAAACTGTAGTTCTAACCAGCATTTCTCTAATTTTGAAGTTGAATGTTTTTGCATATGTTACTTTTGCCCATTTTCCTACTGGTATTTAAATTGATTCATAGAAGCTCCTTGGGATTTTTTGTTTTGTTTTTTTGAGACAGAGTCTCGTTCTGTGACCCAGACCGGAGTGCAGTGGCGTGATCTCAGTTCACTGCAACTTCCAACTCCCGGGATGAAGCAATTACCTGTGCCTTAGACACCTAAGTAGCTGGGATTACAGGCATGTGCCACCACAGCTGGCTAAGTTTTAAATTTTTAGTAGAGATAGGTTTTCATCATGTTGGCCAGGCTGGTCTTAAATTCCTGGCCTCAAGTGATCTGCCCACATCGGCCTCCCAAAATGTTGAGATTACAAGTGTGAGCCACCTCGCCTGGCCCATAGAAGCTCTTTACATATTAAAACAACTAGATTTTTGTAACAGAAATTGTATGTAACCTTTTCATTTTGTCACTTGTCTTTTAATTTTCAAATATGGTTGAATTGCCCTATTGATTCTTTTATGACTTCTGGGTTTCATGACATATTTAGAAAGACTTATACACTGTTAAAATTTTTTTCCTATGTTTTTCTGAGTATATACTTATAATTTCTTAAGTCTTTTCTCCATCTGAACTTTATTTTGGTCTAAACTGTGAGGTACAAATCTGTATTTTCTTCCATGTGTCCACTCACTTGTAACAGCATTATTTATTAAATAATCCATATTTTTCCTACTGATGTGAAATGATACCTTTATCATTAGAAAATTCCCATATATTAAATATATGTTTGGGCTGGATGCAGTGGCTCACACCTGTAATCCCAACTTTGGAAGGCCAAGGAGGGCGGATCACAAGGTCAGGAGTTCAAGACCAGCCTGGCCAAGATGGTGAAACCCCATCTCTACTAAAAATACGAAAATTAGCCAGGCATGGTGGTGCGCGCCTATAATCCCAGCTACTTGGGAAGCTGAGGCAGAGAACTGCTTTAACTCGAGAGGCAGAGGTTTCAGTGAGCCAAGATCACACCATTGCACTCCAGCCTGAGCAACAGAGATGCCACCTACAAAAAAAAAAAAAAAATATATATATATATACACACACACACACACACACACACACACACACACACACACACATGTTTGGGCCTATTTCTGAATTTCTTGTCTATTGGGTTGTCTGTCTATTCATGCACCAGCACCAACTGTTTTAACTATGTGGCTTTATAATATGTATAGTTTTCCTATAATTTCAATATGTGGAAACTAGCTCTTTGCCTTCTTTATTCTTTTCAGAATTTCATTGAAGGTTTTTGAGCAGAGGAATAACATGATCTGATTTGGGTTTTTAAAAGATCATTCTGGCAACAGTGTAGAGAAAAAACTGCAAAGGACAAAAATGGAAGCAGGATGACAGGTAGGTCACTGCAATAATCCAAAAGAATGATGATGCTCAGACTAAGAAGGTGGTAATGGGGGTGGTAAGAAGTAGGGATCACTGGAGAGAAGTCTGGGGGGGGATAAAATGGTTCTGTTTTTGACATATCATTTGAGATGCCTGTTAATCATCTAAGTGTAAATGTCAAGTCGGCAGCTGGATACATGAATCTGGAGCTCAAAGGTCAGGGTAAGAGAAATAAATCTAAATAAATCTAGAAGGAATCAACCACCATCTAGTGGGTGTTTAAAACCACAGGACTGGGCCAAGCAAAATGGTTCACACTCTGTAATCCTAGCACTTTGGGAATCTGAGGTGGGAGGACGGCTTGAGACCAGAAGTCTGAGACCAGCCTGTGCAACATAGCAAGATCTCATCTCTACTAATAACGTACAAAGAGCCAAGCATGGTGGCATGCCACTGTAGTCCCAACTATCAGGAGGCTGAGGTGGGAGGATCTCTCAATCCTGGAGGGTAGAGGTTGCAGTGAGCTGAGATCACACCACTGCACTCGAGACCCTGTCTCAATCAATCAATCAATAAAACCACGGGACGGTATGAGTTCACTAGAAATAATGTAGACTGAGAAAAGGGCCAAGTATTATGTCCTGGAATCTGAGTGAAGAAGGTATTTCAAGAAAGGAGGAAAGAGTGACTGTGTGAAATACAGTAAATTGACTACCAGATTTGGCAAAATAAAGACGAACAGCAACATGGACAAGACCAGTTTCAATGCAGTGATGCAGACAGAAGCCTGACTAGAATGACCTAAGGTGAGATAACAGATAAGGAGGCAGAGGCGGCAAGAACAGACTACCTTTAGAGGAGTTTTTCCATAAAGAGCAGAGAAAAGGAATAGTTGCTGGAGGGCCATGGTGTTAAAAAAGGATTATTCTCAGATAAGATGTAGGACTGCATATTTTTGTGTTGATGAAAATGATGAGTAGAAAGGGGGAAAATCCAGAATACACAGAGGATACCTAAAAATCAATAAGAAAAAGACAATTCAACACAAAAATGGGGAAAAATTGAAAACAGGAAATTCAAAGAAAAGAAAATTCAAATGACCAAAAACAGAAATATAAGCAAATCTACTGGTAATTAGTGGCACACAAAATAAGACAACAATAAGATGCCACCAAACAGATTGGCCAAAAAATTTTAAATATGA